AAAAAAAAAAAAAACAAGAGGAAAAACAATAAACCCCATATTACCCTTATAAGGAAGAAAGTTTTTTTGGGGGGTCTTAAGAAGCTCGGGGTCTGTTCGTTGAGGGTTTAGGATGTAGGGTTTAGGGTGAGTACTATACTTTAATACTTTGTTTGTGGTTCTGAGTTCCTACATAGTCTAGGAAGACCACTTCGAACAACATGCCTGCTGCAGTACTACAGTTATCGAAAATTGAAAAAGGGACTATAACAACTTAGAAAAGCTTACAACAACTTAGCAAACTTAGCTTGTATCAACTTATAACTTTCTGCAAGCTGAGTACATGTCATGTTATGTCTGCAATGTCTTAGGTTATGTTAACTTGCTTAAGTTTTCTTAACCGTGCTAACTAATTATAACTGCTGCAAACTCTTACATGTTCAACGGGGCTCCTGCGCAAACCCTAAACCCTAACTTTCCCTAAACCCCTAACCCCTAACCCCTAAACCCTAAACCCTAAACCCTAAACCCTAAACCCTAAACCCTAAACCCTAAACCCTAAACCCTAAACCCTAAACCCTAAACCCTAAGCCCATGTCCGAGGCCCCTCCGCGCCTTCAACTCCCCGGCTCCCTCGGTCGGCGACGCGCCAGGCACCAGGGGGCCCTGTTCTGAGGATACTATACTGGGGTTTAGGGTTTAGGGTTTAGGGTTTAGGGTTTAGGGTTTAGGGTTCAACAGAGCTAGCTGTGAAAGGGCGCAGAAGCTGTTGAAGGTTGGGATGCAGACTCGCTTCGAGAGCGTCGGGAAATGCGAGCAGCCGCCATGGCCCGATAGTGGAGGGCCACACGCCGTTAGAAAACCTAGGCCATGGGCCGGCCTGAACCTGAAGCCCTAAACCTTAAGCGGTTTAGGGTTTAGGGGTTAGGGGTTAGGGGTTAGGGTTTAGGAGGTGCATGCAGCATCTCGAAGCCCGCAAAACCCCAGTCCCAGTATGGTATCCCAAGCTAGGATTGCCCTTGAAATCCCTGAACATTTTCTTAACAAATGCTCCTCTTAAGCTCTGGGCTAAACCTTCCTTGTCTGCAACAGCTCGCGGTGTCGGCCGGTGATGGAAACAAGAGGCCATCCTTACCCTGTATACACAGGGTTTAGGGTTCAGGGTTTAGGCGCTAGTAACACACACACATATGTACGGAAGCTCTGAAACCCTGAATCCTGAAGCCAGCTTTAAAGCTGAAGCCCCAACCAATACAGGCGACTCAACAAGTGACTTATACAGGCGAACAAGCGACTAGGCAGGCCCGCGGGGAATTTGCTTTCCCCAAACTCATGCTTATGACACCTGTAAAACCCTAGACCCTAAACCCCAAACCCTAAACCCTAGCCCTAAACCCTAAACCCTAAACCCTAAACCCCCAGCTCCAGGATCGAAAAAATCGCGACCTCGCAAGCGTCCCGACGTCTCCGGCCGACCCGTGCAGATCTTGCATCCGCCAGGTACCCACAGATGTCTGGAGCTGCCACTTAAGGAATATGCCAAAGGCGTAGTTCATACATATATCAGGACCTGTCATAAGTTGGGCTCTTTGCAGGGTTTTCTCTCTCGGTGCGTCGGGGTGTATAGGAATAGGTTTAGGTAGAGGGTACAGGCAAAGGGTTCAGGGGTTTAGGGTATGAGGTTTAGGGTTTAGGGTCAAGGGACTTGGGGTCCGTAGCTCTGAGCCCCACAAATCCCAAACATGGCTCAGCGCTGACGCAAGACTCCTTGGGGCTTGACGTCGAAAGGAGACATGTGGGCCCTGGCCAGTGTTGAGGTCGAGGTGCCGGAATGCCCAAGGCACTTTTGGGTTTAGGGTTCAAGTTTCGAGTTTAATTGGGGTTTCGGGTTTGGGGTCTAGGGTTTGGGAGCATACCTCTAGGACGCCTTCACACTTTGAGATAGATTCCTCAATTCCGGGGGGGGGGGGGGGGGGGGGGTTGTTGGGCTGTTTGGGACTTCCCCTCTTCGCGACTGCGGGGATGTACAGTGGAGCCGTTTGCTGAGAAGTGACACGTTGGCCTAAACCCTACACCCTAAACCCTAACTTGCCAGCTCAAGCAATTTTGAGCTTGGCTTGCAAAGTACACCTGGGGTTGACTCGAAATATATTCTCATGTCTACCGAAGCCCATCGAAAATCGAACGTTATAGACCCACAAGCCCAGCCTTGGGCATGATTTGGAGTTCCTAACCCCTGAACCCCAAGCACCTTGCAGGGTTTAGGGTTTAGGGTTTAGGGTTTAGGGTCAGTGGAAGCATTTCTGAGGTCCAAAGTGATGCGAGGCAGATCGAAAGCCCGGTGGCTCCCTGACGGCATGTTATTGGCATCAAAGGGATTTAGGGTTTAGGGTTTAGGGTTTAGGGTTTAGGTGAAATGACTCCTTGAGTAAATCTGCAAGATCATGCTGCCACCGCACTGCCACCTGTCCTGTATGACTGTTGCACTAGAGCATCCTAAATAAACCTCAAGCCCCAATAGAAGAGGTTGAATGATCCTGCGCCACGAAACACTGACAGCGGTTTAGGGTACCTGACATCATTGGAAGGGACGACCTCTCGCACTAGTCCCGCCAGCCCAAGCGCGCGCTGACTTGCAAAATGCCAGTGTGCGTCCCCAACCCTGTAGCTCTAACCCCGGCAACCCCAAATAATTCCTATGAACCCTAAATATATCACTACGGAACCGAAAGCTCACCATAAATATTCCTGTAGGCCCTAACGCAAACCCGACAGACCGAAAGCTGAGGCAGGATGTCTTTCGGGTCTGGGAGCGCGAGATTCCCAAGCCTGATTTCGCCATCCATCATGCGGCCAAGGTTGGCAGTGGGCATGTCAATGTGCTGATTAGGGTGAAGGGTTTAGAGTTTAGGGTTTTGGGTTTTGGGCTGAAGGGCCTTCAGGGTCTAGCCATGGAGTCAGCACGTAGCACAGCATTGAAGCCGGCCCTACCACAGTCGCGGAAACCAGGATGACTCGAGAACTCAAACCAGGATGACTCGAGAACTCATGTGGACAAAGAGGGCTCACAAGCCAATAGCCCTCCAAACCCCGAAGCGTAAACCCAGGGAGCCTGGCGTTCTTGGGGGCTTTCTGTATAGCGGTTCGGGGGTTTAGGGTTTCCAGAACTGACTGGGGCTGGTGGTGACGACGCCCCGGATTTGCGCAGGCCAGGATGCAAAAAGGGTCTAGAAAGTTGCTGAAAGAGCCCTAGTGCGAAAAAAATGAACCCTAAACCCTATAAACCCTAAACCCTAAACCGTGGGTTTAGAGTGTTTTTGGGGTCCCAAACTTGAAGCCCTGAAAACGCAACAGTTTACTTCTTGGTTTCCTGAATTTAGGGTTTATGGTTTAGGGTTTAGAGTTTAGTGTTTAGGGTTTAGAGTTTAGGGTTTAGGGTTTAGGGTTTAGTGTTTCCTGAACCCTTGGACCCCTTTGTCCCCGATGCCCTCACAGGGTTTTGGAATTGAAGTTGGACTGAGAGAAAACAGGGTTTGGGGTTTAGGGTTTAGGGCTTATCCTGGAGCTGACTTGGGGGCACATTAGCAATGATCCCTGCAGAGCGCCCGCCAAACCCTAAACCCTAAACCCTAAACTTTAAACCCTAAACCCTAAACCCTAAACTCTAAACCCTAAACCCTAAACCCTAAACCCTAAACCCTAAACCCTAAACCCTAAACCCTAAACCCTAAACCCTAAACCCACAGCCGCTGAATCCTACGATCCTGGACCCAAGTCCTCGCAGTTGCTGCGGACCGCTCACAGAGATCTTGCACCAAGCCCTGCAAGCCCCAGCCCAGCGAGCCCAATGCCCCTCAATAAGGAAAAGACCTTAGCTTACATGAGAACCTTTAATATATATATATATATATATTATATATATATATGACTTAAGGTAATTTCCTGATATATGGAATCCTTAGTATGATTTTAAAGGTATATCTTTCTTATTTGAGGGAGTCCTGGGGCTCTCCCCAGAGACTCCAAAACCCCTTAATTAAGGAATATACCTTAACTCATATTAGGGTGCCGATTATAATTTAAGGAATATTCCGTAATTAAGGGGTTTTGGAGTCTCTGAGTCTGTCCGAGTGAGACCATGTGAGGCTGTGCGGCTCCTGCCCAAGGTCAACTTTCGGGGGCTTCCAACCGAAGAGGAGGGGAGCCATCCGGTACTGCAGCACCTGCTCCGCCGGACCCAGGCGGGGGTTTAGGGTTTAGGGTTTGGGGTTTAGGGTTTAGGGTTTAGGGTTTAGGGTTTAGGGTTTAGGGTTTAGGGCACCGGGCGTTTTTGCAACGCACTATAGCCAGGAAGTGCCCCGATTAGGAGATACATAGTGTTTTCCCTAATCTGCGGATCGATGGAGGTCTAGAGTAGAAATGCCTTAAGTTGGAGAGGCTTGGCAAGACGCAGCCCACGAAGAATGAGACCCTGATTCAACCGCCCCGCACGCCGCCGCAATCATGCCCTAGAACCCGAAACACCCTACAAACCTATGCAGCCTATGCAGAAGTTGAGGAACCAGAAGCCTTGTTTTAGGGTTTAGGGTTTAGGCTTAGGGTTTAGGGTTTAGGGTTTAGGGTTTAGGGTTTAGGGTTTAGGGTTTAGGGTTTAGGGTTTAGGGTTTAGGGTTTAGGGTTTAGGGCGTCGAAGGGACCCAGGAACTGCACTGGGTGGGTGGGTTAACTTGGCGCAGACCACTGCGGCGCAGAACAAGTGGGCAGCCACGAAGCAAAGCCAGTGAGTCCCAGAGATCAAAGGGGGCTTTGTTTTTTGCTTGTAGGCCTTCAGTTTTTTGGGATGTTTAGGTTTTTTTTTGTGTGTGGGGGGGGGGGGGGGGCCTTCAGAGTTTTAGGGCTATGCTGGGCTGTTGGCTTTTTTCTCGTGTTGAGACATGCTATGGGTAATTGCGGCCGGAGCAGGAGCTTCTTCAGTTGGACAATTGCGCCCGGGCTGCAGTTCGGCGTCGGGGGAAGCCGGAATCTCAAAAGAAGGGGAGCGAGTCTCGCTTAGCCTCAGAAACCTTAAACGCTACAGAAAGCGCCGATCCGGCAGGGGGGCGCACGAAACGCTGTCTCCACCCCCTCACCCCCCAAGCCCCACCCCCCTGGTTTAGGGTTTATAGGGTTTAGGGTTAGGGTTTAGGGGCCCCTTGTTGTTTGGCCCAGACGCGTACCCCCACCTCCCTCCCGCCTTTTTGTCGGCATGCTTCAGCCCGTATAGAGCGAGAAAGCCCGACACCGCTTCATCAAGCCCTAAACCCTAAACCCTAAACCCTAAACCCTAAAATGTACCTCAGTTCAACTTACTGGGCCAATAGTTGAGCTTCGAGCTGCTTGGGTTTCCGTATTTAGAAGGAATATGAAAGCTTAACCTTGTTTCTTCCTTGGTTATTGGAGATCTCCGTTGTTGGGGGTTCAGGTTCCTTTGTAAGCCCCTGTGCACCAAAAATGGCCTCTTTATCCCTAGGTTACTTTTGGGTCTAGATTCTAGATAAACTACTCGGTAGGCACTTGGGATATTTCCCCTTCTTCGGTTTAAGAGGATCATGTTTCGGATTTGTTCAAGGAGGGTTGTCAGAACCATCCTGTACCATATGAAGCAGGGTTTGTATTTCTGTTTTGGTGAGGGGAGATAAGGTCCCTTTCGAATGTTGGTGAATGTATATGTTGGGTGTCCTCTTGGGGATACAAGGAATACAAACCCCAACCATTGATCGGTAAATTCACGTCCTCGACCACCGATGTTTTGTGCTTGCTAACTTAGTACAAATCTAAGCTGTCTCACCTTGATATGATTCACGACCTCGAGTCCGCAGTACAAGGAATACAAACCCCACTGCATGTAGGGAGCCCTCCTTAAGATTTGAAATTCCGATTTCAGGGTTTTGGGTTTAGGGTTTAGGGTTTAGGGTTTAGGGTGGGCAGTCCGAGCCCACCCTCAATCCTAAACCCCAAACTCCAAATCCTAAGCTTCCCCAAGGGTCCATGTACCCATACGGTATGTGCTTGGGCCCTGAAGCTACTATGTGGGAGCCCCTTTAAAGCCCTGGTATATGCTATATGGGTATCCTAAACCCTAAACCCTAAACCCTAAACCCTAAACCCTAAACCCTAAACCCTAAACCCCAAACCCTAAACCCTAAACCCTAAACCCTAAACCCTAGCCCTAAACCCTAAACCCTTTGGGTTCGGGGAAGTATGGACCCTTTGGGCTTTTGCAGTTGATTGTTCGTGTGGGAAGATATCGGAGCGGGCGTGTGGGTTGAGACGAACCCAGACTATGGAATCCTGTTGCGAGTGCTGGCTTAGGGTTTAGGGTTTAGGGTTTAGCGGTTAGGGACCCTAAACTTCAACATTACGTCCTACACCCTACCAGCATGGGCTACCAGGCCCCATAGTCCCCATAATCAACTTTACAAAAGGCCCTTCTAAAGGGGTGACAGGACATCCTGGTATAGATCCTTAAACCTAAGTCCTGAACCAAAAAAACACCCTTGTTATTCCTAGGTTACTCTTGGGTCTAGCCCTAAACCCTGAACCCTAAACCCTAAACCTTTGAGGTACGGTGGCAGTCTCGGAGGGGATCTCCGCCGGCCGCAATCGCCGCGAAGGGCTCTGTGCGGAAGATGTGGCCGCGATGCTCTTTCCCTGCATTCCTCTACCGTTTCCTTACAACCCTAAACCCTAAACCCTAAACCCTAAACCCTAAACCCTAAACCCTAAACCCTAAACCCCCCAAAAAAGGGTACCATAGGGATCCTTGTACTATTGCTCGGGGGGGGGGGGGGTTCTTAAGCAAATGGGAGTTCCGGGCCCAGAGATGGTCTTCAGCGGTTCTTATGGTTCTTCGGGGGTTTAGGCCTGTTCAGACATCTAGGGCTTGTGGGTCGGAGGGTTTAGGGTTTAGGGTTTAGGGTTTAGGGTTTAGCGTTTACGGTTTAGGGTTCAGGGTTTAGCGTGTAGGGTCGCCAGTGTACATCCTTCCCGTCACATGCCTCGGCCTCAACCCCAAACCCTGCACAGCAACGACAACGCCTCCCTCAACGCCAAGCTCAGGATTCGGGCGGCTGAATCCTTGGCTACACGCCTGCCTCAGTTGCCCCTCGTTTCCTGTTAAAGGTGATGCGTTTGCACGCTTTTGATCGGGTCTTGGGGCGTTGCAAGCAAGTGAGGCAGAAAGACCTGGTCCCGTCTCTGCAAGAGAAGGCCAGGTGCTTGCTTTCGCAACACCGCTGAGCTGGTTGCTTAGGGTTTTCTGCAGCATCTGATGACTTGAACCAGGGTCGTGGCACACGTCGGGGGCCGTCAATTCGGCATCAGTCAGTTGCCCCAGGTCGCGACGCTTCTGTGGGAACTCTTGCCGTCCCTAATTACCCTAAACTCTAAATCCTAAACCCTAAACCCTAACCCTATGTAAACCCTAAACTCTGAACAGGTGCAAGCCGCGGTGACGAGGCTAAGCGACAAGGACCGGTGGCAGGTTGCATCGGGCATATGTGTGCAAGCATGCTCTGGACCCAAGACCCTGTAAACCCTAAACCCTATACCCTATACCCTAAACCCTAAACCCTAAACAAACTGCTGTGGCAAGTTCCTCGCCTGGCTTGTCAGCAGTCGCAGCGTGAAGCGACATCAGCTAGAGGATCCATTTTTTTTTGCTTAAGGTCGACCTGCAGAACCCCCAAGCCTTCTTTTTTGTAGGGTTCAGGGTTTCGGGTTTACAGTAGGGTTTAGGGTTTCTAGGATTCTTAGGTAACCTACAAAAAGTAGGCTTAGGGTTCGTAACGACCTCCTTACTCAAGGGGTAATGGGCCTCCTGGAAACCACCCATCAACCCCCCTCAGCATGCCGAGCCCCAACGAAACCTGACTCAACCCCCTTCAGAAGTAAACCCTAAACCCTAAACCCTAAACCGCACACCCCTAGGATGTCATCAGCATTCTCTTGGCCGGTTCCTGGGAGTCTGTCCCAGAGGCCTGAAGTGTTCGTTTAAAGTCTTGGTTTTCGAGTTTAGGGTGGGAGCATGGACGGCTCTCACAATCACCTCGTTGAGGATCTTTGCTTGAGGACTTCCGTTCAGGGCCCTAAGCCGTCCGGCACTACCTGGTGCAACGGACACGTCAGACCCGTCGAGCTGCCCCTGAATGAAGTCTATCCGTGATGATCTCTCACGCGGCACTTGACTACTATTTGCTTAAGCACCCCACACATGAAAACATTCTTTCTTATCAGGGTAACAAAGGGAGTACTATATTGGTTCTTAAGCAAATAATAGTTCATGAGTCTAGCTGAATGAAGCTGTCTGCTTGGAGGTTAATCGTACTTATTAACCAATTATAACTGTACTCGTAACCCACTTATAAGCCCCTGAAGTGCCCCAACATGGTTATAAGTGCAGTTATAATTTGTTGCTAAGTACCATGAACCTGCAAGTGAAGTACATTCCGCAGCTCCTTGTCGCTTAGGCCGGCGCTCTTAAGCCCGAAAGCGGGCGTACGTAGCTATGGGTGCAGGGAGCCCGAAGCAGAGTTCCCATGCATTCTGAATCTGCTTTGCTGTGAACGTGGAATTTAATTACGTTCAGGGCCTCAAGTCATCCCAAGATTTCCCCAGCAATGTGAGCTCAACTCCTTGTGCAACAAACGCCTGGAATGTGTGCCCGTAACCCTAAACCCCAAACCCTAAACCCTAAACCTAAACCCTGGGTTTAGGCTTCGGGCGACTACAAGAGAACCTAAACTCCAAACCCGAAACCCTGCAGGTTTGGGCTCAGTTCCTTGGCCGTCTTCGTCCGGATCTTGCCGACAGCGTCAGCATGGAGGACAGGCGTGAAAAAAAAGATACACTGCAGTTTCCCGGCATGCCCTGCATGTTTATATCCTGAGAGCCCAACACCCCTTCACTGAGTATCCCCTAGTTCTATTATTTGCTTGAGAACTCTCCCCAAAAAACAAACAAATCCCTATACTGCCTTGAAAAGGAAGAATCCTTTTTATTCTTATTGTTTTTGGGTGGTGCTTCAGAAAATAGTAGGATTTACATCAGATCCGGGAACATCCCAAGGTTTAGGGTTTAGAGTTTAGGGTTAGGGTTTAGGGTTTAGGTTTAGGGTCTGCGGAGCCAGCTGCTAATTCGTGGCATGGAACCGGGGAAGCAGGTGCCCTTTCGTGGACTTTAGGGTTTAGGGGGCTCCCCACCAAAGACCTAGTAAGGTTCATGGGTTGTGGCTGTGGGGGGCTTTAGGGGCCATTTTAGGTTCCAGGGGCTTTCCTCAAGAAAGTGAGCGGTTTTTGCAAGGTGCCCCTTCTAGAACACTCACAGATTGCTTCGTGTCCTTACATGCACCTTATGGAAGCCTTCCAGAAGCTACCCCGCCCTTTCTGAAGCTGTCCTTAACCTAGGGTTGGGGTTCAGGGTTTAGGGTTCAGGATTTATGGTTCAGGGCTTAGGGGTTTGGGTTCTCCAAGCTACAGTTCCTGTGGGGCATTTGTTATAGCTCCCCCCCGTCTTCTTCAAATAGCAAAGCCGCAGCACAATTGCATTGGAGCTTAACATCTTGAAACTCAACACCCTAAACTCTAAACCCCAAACCCCAAACCCCAAACCCCAAACCCTAAACCCTAAACCCTAAACCCTAAACCCTAAACCCTAAACCCTAAACCCGCTGTAGAAGGACCTCCCCTCCCTGGTCCGGCTGCTCACTGGGATGCCGGACACTGTCGCCGCCGCGCGAGGCGAATCCACGTCCCAAAGCTGCGCCGTTTAGGGTTTAGGGTTAGGGGCTTAGGGTTTAGGGTTTAGGGTTTAGGATTTAGGGTTTAGGGTTTAGGGTTTAGGGTTTCGGGCATGCCTACACGTGTTGATGAGCCAGTTGCGCAGCTCATATCCCCCTTCATAGCCTGCAAGGTTTGCTTAAAAGGAGCTCTGTACCTTAGATGTTCCTTCCGCCTTGCTTTTGCTTTTGAATAACTAGGACCCAGAGTAGGCCCTTGTTCCCTTTTTTTCGGGTATAGGTTCCCTTACAATCCCATTTAAACCAAAAAGGGCTCCCCTTTTTTCAGGTTACTCTTAAGTCTAGACAAAGACCGAGAAGGGAATGCTAAAGGTATTGTGCTTACTAGTGTTCTATTGAGCATATGGGAAGGTATCGGACCATACACCCTTTCGCACCCCTTGAACTCTAAACCCAAAATACCCTAAACCCTAAACCCTAAACCCTAAACCCTAAACCCTGCCGGCATGGTCTTGTGGAAAGGCGAGCGCTCAAACTCCCAGAGTGCAGAGCTCCTCCTGACCTTGCGGGAGCAGGCAAAAGCCCGAAAGGGAAAGGGTTTAGGGTTTAGGGTTTAGGGTTTAGGGTTAAGGGTTAGAAAGCATATAAAGTGATGCCCCAGTACAACCCTAGTGGGATGCTTCACTGAACCAAAATGCAACAACCCGCGCTGACGTAGATGTTCAAGCGAGCTGTCCACATCATGGAGTGATAGTTCAGGGTTCCAGGGACTCCAATACCCCTTGATTAAGGAACACCCCCTAAATGTTCAAAGAGATCCTTATATGGTTTACAGAATACTCCTTAATTAAGGGGTAGTGGAGTCCCTGGGTTTAAGGCTTAGGGCTTATAGCCTAAAACTTCCGACAAGCTCATACCTTGGCTTCAGCGAAAAGAAACCAAAGCCCAAAGCCCCAAACCCTCCCCCTGAATCCTAAACCCTAAACCCTGAACCCTGAACGCTAAACCCTAAACCCTAAACCCTGAACCTCAACTTCCCAGAAGCCCCGAAGAATAGTTCGTGGCCAAGCTTCTGAGCTCCAGTGGGAGGATCGCAGAGGCATCGCAACCCCACATGTAGCTAAAGGGTTGAGGCGGGTTTAGGGTTTAGGGTTTAGGGTTTGGGGATGAAGGTTATTGTGTACTGAGGAAGCCGTTGTTCCTGGCGCCAGGGCCCTTCGTAGCCCACATCTTTCAGCCACTGGACTGGGCACGTCTTTATCCTGCATTGCTTGGTAGCCCAGTGGTACCCTTTTCCCCTGTTTTTGGTTCTGGGTTCCCTTGGAACCTAACCAACAAAAGGGTACCCTCATCATAAGATGGTGACTGAGCCCCAAACACTAAATCTTAAACCCTAAACCCCAAACCCCGAACCCCAAACCCTAAACCCGAAACCCAAGCTCCACTCGGAAGGTTTCGGCGGTAGCTCCCATGATGAGCCTCTCTGATCTCGCCGACTGCTTCTGGTGCCTGGCGGCTCTGCTGATGCTTTGTCTTACCACGCTTCTTAGTACCTTAGTAGTAGAGGAGGCCCTAAACCCCAAACCCTAAACCCTAAAACCTAAACCCTAAACCCTAAACCCTAAACCCTCCCCTTCACTATCCCAAAAGGGCAACCTTGAGTTCCCCAAGGATACTGGACAACTACGGTACGGCGTGAGGGACTCTGGTACCTTGTATCCCCCTAGATGCATGAGTGTACGTATATATATACACACACCCTGTTAAGGGATTCGCTAAGGTACCAAATTCCATCATTCCCTACTGAGAACCAGTAGGTTGTGGTCAGGATTCAGGCTTCAAATCCTTCAGGCTTTACGATGCTCATCGGCTCCCCTCAAGGTTTAGGTTGAGGGTCCAAAACCCCTTAATCCCGCGCGAGACGGGGGGGGGGGGAATTAAAGGTTGCACCTAAGCAGGTAGGGGGATCCCCTGCGACTTTCGGAAACCCTAAACGCTACACCCTGGAGGGTTTCAGTATTGCTGCCCAGCATTCCGGGGTGTTGGAGTAGGCCGAACCAAGACCCAGCCAACCACCCCAAAAGCCTTCCAAAGTCCCCAGGCTCTCAGCCTCTTTAAATCAAGGAGCCTTGAAATATATATATATATATATATATATATATATATTCAAGGTTTCGTGTTAGGGTATATGTATAGATTTTGGGGTTGACGGTTGAGATTAGGGTTTGGACCTGGTCTAGGCAACCTGCTTATGTATAGGGCCTGCGATAACAGGGGGATCTTCGGGTGATCACATTCGTAGAGATTTTGGGACGAAAATACGGGCACCCGTAAGATACACCCCCCCCCTTCAAATAGCAGGATTCCAAAACCCTAAACCCTAAACCCTAAACCCTAAACCCTAAACCCCTAAATTTTTTTAAGGGACCCACAAGAAGGTACCCCTCAACTTCGGAAGTACCCATTTCAGGCTCCTGCAGATGTTAACCCCTAGACCTACAATTAAACCCCTAGAACCTTAAACCCCAAACCCGAAACCCTGAACCCTAAACCCCAAACCCTAAACCTAAACCCTAAACCCTAAACCCTAAACCCTAAACCCTAAACCCTAAACCCTAAACCCTAAACCCTAAACCCTAAACCCTAAACCCTAAACCCTAAACCCTAAACCCTAAACCCCAACCCCAAACCCTAAGGCCCCAAACCCTACAAGTTGAAGTGTGTGAGGCCGATGTTAACCTGGTCACAAAGTCGCTGCGGCGCGCAGTGACCGCTCCTGGGCCCAGCCTAGGGTTTAGGGTTTAGGGTTTCGGAGTTTAGGAGTTTAGGGTTTAGGGTTTAGGGCGTAGGGTTTAGGATTTAGGGTTTAGGGTTTAGGTCTCGTAGGTCTTAAGAACCCCACGACCTACTCTTCTTTTGGTAGGTTACCCAAGAATCCTATGAGTTCTCATTTAAGAACCCCAAAACCTACTTTTTTGTTGTAGGTTACTCAAGAATCTTGTAAGGGGGTTATATGGCAACAACAACTCTTATAGATCACATGGCTAAACCCTAAACCCTAAACCCTAAACCCTAAACCCTAAACCCTAAACCCTAAACCCTAAACCCTAAACCCTAAACCCTGAACCCCAAACCCAAGAAATGGAACTCGCCCCAAGAGATGGATCCGGCGCTTTGAACTGAATCGAAAGCCGCAACGTGCAAGCCTTACAAAGTCCGTCCCCAAGACACTAAACCAAGGGTACCCCAGAGAGCCCCAATAATATACTACCTTACGTATATTCGGATCCTGAATGTGTTTATGGTATATTCCTGAATTAAGCGTTTTGGGCTCTTTGGGCCCTCGTGCACTCAGAAACACTACTTCCCTGTATAGGAACCCCAAAAGCGTAGCCCCAATGTGTGGAAACCGCCGCACAGCACGGCTGTCGGCACCTTCGCGGGACGTCAGGAAGATGCGAAAGTCAGAGTTCCTGAAGCGCCACACACACACACAAAACAAAGAAAAGCCTAAATCGCAAACCCTAACCCCTACACCTTATATAAACCCTAAACCTTATAATTATAAACCCTGAACCTTATATCAATCCTAAATCCCAAACCCCAACCCCTAATGAAACCCTAAACCTCCAAAAGGATCGAAGCCCTGAGGGCGCCGAAGCCATGACTGACCTTGAAAACACTTCCCAGAGAGCCCGATACCCCTTAATTAAGGGCTTAGGGTTGAGGGTTGAGGGTTTAGGGTTTAGGAGTTAGGATAGAATCCTGAATACGGTTAAAGTATACTCCGCCTTATTATCCTTGAGTCCTGGAAGCGTGCCTGGGAGCAGCCCCCCCCTCCCCCTCTCGCACAGCTGCAAAGCTACTGGTCCCCTAGACTCCGTAAGGGATTTAGGGTTTAGGGTTTAGGGTTCAGAGATTGTGTTAGAGTTTAGGGTTTAGGGTTTAGGGGGGGCAAGATCCCTAGAGAGTTGGGGAAGGTTCAGGGTCAAAGGCTAAGGGAAGATGACCTTGGCCAGCTAAGGAGAGAGTGGCACAACAGGCCACCCGATCTGCAGTCAGATGCATGAGACGTTGCAGTTTCCTAAGCCCTAAACCCTAAACCCCAAACCCCAAACCCTAAACCCTAAACTACACTTGCACGTGCTCTGTTTACGTAAACCTCAAAACGGCTTAAGCCCTAAACCCTAAAACCCTTTAACCCTACAAGGTGTTTCGGGTTCAGGGGTTAAAGGGCCCTAAACCCTAACCCTAAGGCGAAAGGAAGGGACAGGTTGAAACACCTAAACTCTTCATTGGTGTTCCTTTCCCAGGGTTTAGGGTTTAGCGTTTAGGGTTAGGGTTTGGGGTTTGGGGTTTGGGGTTTAGGATTTAGGGCCAGGTCATACGGAGCGCAGACAAATCCGGTTTGCAGGGCGAAGTCATCCAAGTAGAAGACAAGGTACCCAAAGGCAGCGAGTTACCCCAGGCAGTCTACTGTTGAAACCCTTGCTTGAAACTAGATCTAAGACATATGTAATGCATTTTCAAGCAAGTGGCCATGGCATTGTCATCAGGTTCTAACCAAACTAACACCAATGAACAATAGGTCTGTTCAAGCGCGAATGCTGCACACTCCCCGGGTCACTTCTGGATTTCCTGTCGGGCTCCCAAGCGAACCAGGTCAAGCGGGCTTAGGACTTAGGGTTTGGGGTTGGGGTTTAGGGTTCAGGGTGTAGGGTTAGGCTTAGTGTGGACAAGGGTTTTTGGGGGTTTAGGGTGTTCAGGGTTGCCAGGGAGATACACAGCCCCCAAAGGCATAACCCACACCGGCCAAGGCGCCGAAGTGGAGGAGGAAAGACTACGAGCCATCGCTTTGGCAGCATCTTGGGTCCTGCGAGAAGGTGTTTAGGGTTTATGGGTTTAGGGTTTAGGGTTTAGGGTTTTTTTTCTAGGGTTTAGGGTTTAGGGCTTCTGCTTTCCAGCTTAGGGTTGAGGGCTCGGTTTTTGGCGGCTGTCGGGCGTCCCCCCTTCCCCCAAGTGCTTCAGTTATAGGGTTCTGAAGGGCGGGGGGGTTCAAGGGAAGGGGGGGATATGTCGCCCAAGGTTCCCTACCCTAAACCCTGAACCCGAAACCCTAAACCCTAAACCCTAAACCCTAAACCCTAAACCCTAAACCCCTAAACCCTAAACCCTAAACCCTAACCCTCAACCCTCAACCCTAAACCCTAAGGCTCCCTAAGCATCCCCAAGGTTCCCTAGGCACCTACCCCCCCCCCCCCAATGAACTCTTAAGGGTAGTTTCGTGCGCCCTTAATAGGGTCCCTTACACCTTGAAAGGGTTTAGGGTTTAGGGTTTAGGGTTTAGGGCTTAGGGATCTCAAAAGGGTATGCAAGGGGCATTTAAGGGGTGCAGAAACCTCTGAGGTGAGCTCAAGGGCCTCTTCAGCATGTGTAAGGCTTGCCCGTGTTTCGCATTTTTTAGGATTTAGGGTTTAGGGTTTAGGGTTCCCCCTAAAACTACTCCAAACAGGGAACTACATTTTGTAGCCTTCAGGGGTAGGGTTCAGGGCTTTGGGATGGGATTGTTTTTGGACTTCTGGGGGTAGTGATAGTGGGATCTTTGAGTAATCGCTACATCCCTGGCAAGTGCAGCACCAGACCGGACTTTCCGCTGAGCCAAGGCTTGTCCATGCCTATGCAAAGATGCAGGTGAAGGACTTTTGTTTCGGGTTGTGGGTTTGGGTTCAGGGTTTAGGGTTCAGGGTTTAGGGTTTAGAGTTTAGGGTTTAGGCTGACGGACTTCACTGCTACGGTTCAGGGGTTAAGGGTGCTCACGAGTTGGAAGGAACCAGCGAGGATAGGATGGGCAATTCTTCCCGATGACCCCTTAGCATACGCCAAACCCTAAACCCTAAGCCCTAAGCCCTAAACCCTAAACCCTAAACCCTAAACCCTAAACCCTAAACCCTAAACCCTGAACCCTGAACCCTGAACCCTGAACCCTGAACCCTGAACCCTAAACCCTAAACCCTAAACCCTAAACCCAAACCCGGGTGCCCCAACCAAGGAAGGCTTGGCAGCCCAGTGGCACCCTCTTGCCCTTCTCTTGGTTCCAGCTTTGCTTACGAAGTAGCCGAACACACAAAGGGCACCCTCAAAATAATTACCCTAAAATCCTAACTCCTTACTATCTACCGGGGGTACCCTATAATTATAACATAAGGTTCCCGGGCTACCAAGAAGGAGCTAGAGTTGGGCCCTCCTTCAGTGGCCCCTGCAGAAACGCTTGGAGCGGTCTTTGGCCTCGGGATGAGCATTCCAGAAAAATGACCGGTGGGGAGGGTTTAGGGTTTAGGGTTTAGGGTTTAGGGTTTAGGGTTTAGGGTTTAGGGTTTAGGGTTTAGGGTTTAGGGTTTAGGGTTTAGGGTTTAGGGTTTAGGGTTGGTGGGGAAGCAGCTAAACCTGACCTAAGAACAAGGGCCCTTTGACCCAGCACCTTCTTACAAACTCCCAATCAGGCGCTTGTTTTTGTTTTGCAGGGCTGGCAAGCACAGTGGCCACAACTGTGCGATGTATGCCGCGGAAACGATTTGCACATCCTCGCCAGACTTTGTGGCGGCTGCAAATGCCGTGTGCAGTTGCTGCTCGCGTCTGGAGCGGCTGCCCCTGCCTGGGCGGAACCTCTGTTCGGCACCGACGACATGGCTTCAGCGTGGTGTTTAAATTTTAAAACTTAGAGTTTAGGGCTTAGGGTTTAAAATTTAAAGTTTAGGGTTTAGGGTACCGCCAAGTGCACAACATGCCGTCTGAAGCACCGGCAGTCTTCGTGTGTTACTTCAGAGGGCCTTCACCTTTGGCTGGCTCACGGACTTTGGTCTGTGCGGGCATGTGAGGGTTTGCAGGGCTTGAATTTTAGTTGAGGATGTCGGGCTTAGGGTTTTGGGTTGGGGTTTAGTTAGGTATTTAGATGCATGTAGGGTTTAGGGCACATAAGGTTTTTACGGTTCAGTGAGCGCCGTTCAGAGCCTTTAAGGTGCGCATAGTCAACATTACTAAATCTGAGGGGTGTTGGCTTTTTGAATACAAAGAAGTGCTACAAGGCTTAGTCTAAACCCTGTGGGTGCTAAGCCTCGAACACTGTGAGGCTCACTGTAGGAGGATGTTTGGCTGACCCTGAAAGCCCAATACCCCTCCCCTCCTCCTCCCCCTTCCTACGAAAACTCCACCTTCCCCTTCTTACCTCATCTTGCTTTGTTAAAGTTCTACGATCCCTAGCACACAAGCCTCGCCTGTATCACGCATAGACCCTAAACAGCGAGAGACCATGTGAGCCCGACAGTTGGGAAGGGATAGTTTCGCATCTTGCGAGCCCAGCCATGCAAAAGCGGCGACAGCTTCGCACTTTGGTGAGAACAGGCCTCCAAAAGCGACAACAGCTTTCGCAGTTGGGGGAGCCCAGACGTCCAAAAGCAACCAAAATGTACTCGCATTTTCGCGGACGCCGCGCTCGGCCGCGCCAGCGATTTCGTCCAAAATGCGAGCCGACTTCGAGAAAGAACACGGCCCTCTCGTTCTTCACGTTGGAAGCCCTTCGTTAGGGAATCATACATCAAGTCCTCCCCTAGACCCTAGACCCTAGACCCTAAACCCTAACCCTAAACCCTAAACCCTAACACCCCCAAGTCCGACTCCTTGGGGTTGAGGGGTGTAGGGTTGTGGGTTTCCTGCTCCCAGCTGATGAGCGCAAGAGTCTAGGTTCAAAAAGGGTTTAGGGTTTTCGGGGGCGGGCTCAAGGTAATGGGCTTCGGGTTTTGGGTTTAGGCTTTGAGTGTCTAGGGAGTATAATTGTCAAAAACGCTAAACCCCCAAAACCCCCTAAAACCCCCTAAACCCCCCTAAACCCCCCTAAACCCCCCTAAACCCCCCTAAACCCCCTAAACCCTGAACTAGAACGGGGTGCTGAGCTCTTAATGGGAGGACCCGGCCATGTGGAAAGCTGCAGCCAGAACGGCCCTAAGGGAAGACTTGGCAACTCACACCAATTGGGCCTCTCGGCTTTGAGCCTTTTCCCTAAGGCTCCTAAAGGGATTGGTTTAGGGTTTAGTAGGGTTTAGGGTTTAGGGCTTAAGGTTCAGGGTTCAGGGTTCAGGGTTTAGGGCCCATGTACCTACATAGTATATAGACCTGAGCCCTGAAGGTACTGTATGGGAACCTATTCCCTTAGGGATCCTTAAAAAGGGACCCCCAAACCCAAGGGCACAACCTTAAGGGTCCAAGGCAGAGTCCTATGAAAACCCTAAACCCTAAACCCTAAACCCTAAACCCTAAAACCTAAACCCTAAACCCTAAACCCTAAACCCTAAACCCTGAACCCTGAACCCTAACTCAACAGTTCCATCACGAGGGCCAGGTGCCCCTGAATTGCAGAATGCCCGTTAGACTGCTTTCAGGGATCCTTATGGAGTTTTAAGGGTTTTGGAATCCAGCCCCTTGCGAACAAAAAAAAGCCAGGCCATGCATTCCTTAATTCAGGCCTGTCGGGCTGTCTGGGCAGCTCCGAAAAATCCATAGACCCTAAACCCGACATCCGGAACCCTAAACCCTAGACCCTAGACCCTAGACCCTAGACCCTAAACCCTAAACCCTAGCAGCAAGGAAGGCACCTCAAATCATATCAAAAAACCTATGCGGTTTACCCCTAAACCCTTAAACCCTAAACCCTAATTGCTTAAGTTCGTAAAGGTTGTCAGGCCGCCTGCGCCGTTTTCATGGTAGTACTGACTCCTGAGCTTTAAACTCTAAACTCTAAACCCTAAACCCTAAACCCTAAAGGCATACCAATGGGAATCCCAGCTCTCATCATCCTTAAACCATGTTCCAACTTTCTGGAGTTTACCCGTAACCCTAAACCCTAAACCCCCCCCCCCTCCCCAAAAAAAAAAAAAAAAAAACAAAAAAAAAACGGTTTAGGGCTTTTTGGGGCTTAGGGCATTTTAGGGTTTAGGGCTTTTTAGGGCTTAGGGCGTTCTAGGGTTTAGGGCTGTTTAGGGGTTTAGGGCTTTTTAGGGCTTAGGGCTTTTTAGGGTTTAGGGCGTTTTAGGGCTTCGGTCTCTTTAGGGTTTAGGGCTTTTAGGGTTCAGGGTGTAGGGCTTTTAGGGTTCAGGGCTCTTTAGGGCTTAGGCCTTTTTGGGGCTATGGGCTGGCTTGTTGATGCCACGCCTTTCCCGCCATTTGCTGCGCGCCCTCGCGTAGTCAGTGACAACCAGGCAAAGCATCTTCCCAGAGCAAAGGAGGCTTGTTCAGCAAGTGATAAGCTTAGGGTTTAGGGTTTAGGGTTTAGGGTTTAGGGTTTAGGGGCCCTACTTGAAGCAAGAGCCCCTCGCGAAGTTGCAGGCAGCGCAGGCCGAGACCCGACGCATGGTGACTGATTTGGAGAAGCAACACCAACGTAACCTTCTACACGCTGAAGTGTGATGTTCGGTACATGCACACGATGTGCGAGACTCGTAGGGGGTGAAATCGGTCGCTTCACCCGGAGCCAGCAACTCGGGGTTTAGGGTTTAGGGTTTAGGGCTAGGGTTTAGGGTTTAGGGTTTAGGGTTTAGGGTTTAGGGTTTAGGGTTTAGGGTTTAGGGTTTAGGGTTTAGGGTTTAGGGTTTAGGGTTTAGGGTTTAGGGGTGAGGGTTTAGGGGTTAGGGGTTAGGGTTTAGGGTTTAGGGTTTAGGGTTTAGGGTTTAGGGTTTAGGGTTTAGGGTTTAGGGTTTAGGGTTTAGGGTTTAGGGTTTAGGGCTAGGGTTCAGGGTTTCGGGCTTCGGGTTTAGGGTTTCGGGTTTAGGGTTTGGGGTTTAGGGTAAGCCTGACCCTGAGCTGAGGCCATCGCAGTCTTGCAGTGGTCGCCTCCCGGCTTCTGATCTTCGGTTGGCTCCCGAAAGCCGAAACTACTACTTGCTTAATCGGTTTAGGGGTTTAGGGCTTAGGGCTTAGGGCTTAGGGTTTAGGGTTTAGGGTTTAGGGTTACCCACAAAAAGAAAGAATAGTACTAGGACCCGGAGTAGGCCCTTATTTCCTTTTTGTGGGGGTTGGGGTTCCCTTCTTATCCCCTTAACACCAAAACGGGCACAAAACACATCTTAGCAGCCGAGTGAGTGAGTACACTTTACACACTTTTTGGGATACTATGATCCCTCAGAGCTTATGAACTCAGCAACTAAGATATATTCTAACTTGTACTCCTAAAGGTTCCCCTTAATGTCCGATTATGGCCCTTCTACTGCCTTAAGGATCTGGAGCGTCCCCAAAACCCAGGGAAGTAGCAAACCCTGTACTTGGAGGGTCGGGGGGGGGCGGGGGGGCTTAGTGCCCTGAAAGGGACCCCAATTGGAGTTATCCTACTTATATCCATCAGATAACTACTTTCGAAGTCCTCCGACCCTCCCAGTAGGATTTAGGCGCCAACGAGCCCTGGGATACTCGGGCACTTCAAACAAGCATCCCCAAGGTCCTCCAAACCCCTGACCCCGTTTAGGGTTCAGGGGTTTGGGGTTTAGGGTTTAGGGTTTAGGGTTTAGGGCAGTCTTGGGTTGAGCACGAGGGGGGGCAAACGTGTCAAAGCACGTGTCTTAGGGCACTGCCTGGGGGACGGAACCTGGCTCGGGGCTTACTGGGGGTTGATTTTGCAATTTGCTATTTAGGGTTTAAAAATTCGGCAGCCGTGGACCCGTCAGAGCGCGCGGGGTCAAAAAGGCTTTAGGATTCCTGCATATCCCTGTGGGAATCCTAGACCAGTGCGTGCTGTTGTTGTACAGGTTTAGGCCAAAGCCACGTGGGGTAGAGAGGCCTTGTCGATGCAGGCAGTGGAGGGGACTTGCTTGTGAAGGGATTGGGGGACAAGGGTTGGGTTGCTTAGTTTGCACACCCTAAGCTTCAAGGCGCGCAGCTCAGCCCTAAACCCTAAAACCCTAAACCAGGTATGCGCAGCTGGAAGACCACGAGGCACCTTTCTTGGTTTGGGGGCCTGGGGCAGTAGGTGGTCATGATAAACCCTTAGGGACTGGGTAGGGTGGTTATATAGAATCCTACTATGTGCAAAAGGTGAACGTTTATTGGGCTAGGGTATTCAGCCCCCATGAACCGGCGCCTTTCAACGCCTCCGCCATTGTCGGAAGCATTTTTGTTGAGTCAGAGCGGTTCAGCTTGCAATGGACAGTCATCGTCCTTCTTGCTCTACGTTATCCCACACGGCCGTCTAGGCTCAAGGTGACTACAGGAGGACCCATGAACGGAGACCCAAACTTTACCTCCGTTGGCCGCCCCAGGGGGGTGCCGAGATCATGATGTTCCCAAGGAGGGGCCGCGTTTTGATCTCCAAGACATTTCTCGAGGTGGTGCAGCTAGGCCGCTCAGTAGTGCACTTCTTGCTGCACCTTTTCGCCCCCCCCCCCCCTAAACCCGAAACCATAAACCCCAAACCCCAAACCCTAAACCCTAAATCCCCCCCCTCCCAGTCGAGGTTTCCTGAAGAATCCAGGCGCATGACACCCCGGTCAACACGTTCGCGTTCTTGGCCTCGAGATCAGGAGCCGCGTGTGGAGATCTATTCCGAGAGTTGGTATGCCGGCTGCAGAGTTGTAGTTCCCCTCCTCCCCCCCACCGCCCAGGCCTTGTAGGTGTCTTACGCAAGTGTTTTCCCAAAAAATCGACTGGGGAGAGGGAGTCCTTCTCGGCTTCGGGTATCCATTCGGAGGATCCACATGAACTTTTGACTCCTCACAACATGAAGGCCCGCTTTCGGGGGATGGGTGTTGTCGGGGTCTGGGCACCGAGAGGAAACTCTGCACATACGAACTCCGTAGAAATAGTGTAGGGCCCTCAACCCTAACCCCTAAACCCTAAACCTTAAACCCTGAACCCTGAAGGGCAAGCCAGAAGCAGAGCGACCAAAGGCCAAACTTATTCTCACTCAGACGGGGGGGGGAGGGAAGGAAACCGGGAAGGGTTTATCCTGGTTTAGGGTTTAGGGTTTGGGGTTTAGGGTTTTGGGTGCTTAAACCCCCAATATTTCATCTACTCATAACCTGCTTAGGGGACTTGGGGGGGCTTATACATACAGTTACAATTGGGGTTAGAAGTGCCCATTCATACACAATACATTAAGTAAAGAGTGGCCCCTGTTCTTATCTTCATTTTTGTGTAGGGTGCGTCTTTGGGGGATTTTGCCCGAACCCTAAACCCGAAATTGAAACCTAAACCCTAAACCCCAGATTGAAACGTTACATTTCAAAACCCCCGCAACCCCAACGGCCCATCCCAAAACCCCAACCAACCTCCTGCTGCTTGGTAGGGAAAGAGGGAATGAGGGCCCCCTAAATATATATATATATATATATATATATACACATACACATACACATACACATACACATATACATATACATGTACATATACTGTGAAGTCGACCAGCACTGGACTTGCACTAAGCCAATGCAATCACAGCCCGGTCACGCTGTTTTACGACTTCGCGAGTTCAAGCACTTGTGCAGCTACGCCTGAGTGCGTCCGGTCGGACCGCACAGCAACCTAAGAGCTACTGTACGAAACTACCGTGCTCAAAGGCACAAGCTCGGTACTTGAGCCAAAACATTGGCATTGTTACGAATTGCAAAACTACACATGCAAAGGAAAACAACACGCTGCACTAGCACTAAGCAAGCACTCCATGCATGCTTTGACCTGCTCACATTCGCCCCTCAGCCGAGGCTTCCGGCTCACCAAGAGCTCATAGTGCGTCAAGCACTTCAGCAACGCGGCAAATGGGGTAGGGCGAGGGCGTCGCGTGCGACCCTGGTAGAGCCCGCACATCATGAGCATTGGCATGCGGCTTGGGCGGCAGCCCGCACTACCAAACGGACGCACGACGACAGCAGCCCTCTACGACCCTAAACCACCCCAAGTCGCGAGCGCTCACCTTTGTGCAGGCAGGCGAGGCTCCAGAGTACTGGGCAGGTCTTTGTGCTGCTAGTGCAAAGCTATGGTACAAATGGTACACTGTACACACTACCGGCCCTAAGCTACGGCTACGGCTACTCACCTATCCAGAACTACCCTACGGGCTACCGGACTCAGCGAGAGCCGCGCACATTGCTCGTGCCGCAGCCAGTGCAACTCGCACGCGCTTCGGCGAGCGCACTGCCGCGACCAGGACACGGTCCGCAGCACCTGCAAAAGAGCACCCTCGACAAGAGGGGCCACAGGCAGGGCAGAGAAGAAAAGTGCGGGGAATGCAAAATGGGCAGGCTTCCAACCTGCCGCGGCTTTCCGCCCGCAGTCACGCAAAAGAAAGTGCAAAAGGTTGGCGAAGCAACGTGCCGTGCTGCGACGCCTGCTCTGATAATGCGTGGATACATACCACGCCGCGCCAACTGGCCGCAGCCTACTCGATACCCTGAGGAGCAGTGTTGGGGGCACGAGTGGCGTTGCCAGCAACGTTGGAGCTACTGGCTCGCTCCAACTGAGGGCGCTTTGCAACCGCCTCATCGAGGGAGAATGCCTCAGTCGACACCCTCTGGAAATCCTCGACGTAGGACTGCGCGACAGGGTGCGTCTTGGGGACCTCAAGCTTAAGCCCTGCCTCCGCATTGGCTTTGCTGCTTGTGGTAAAATTGAGGCTCCCAATCAGCACCACCGCGCCGTCAGGCCGCAGTAGGCAAAGGGCCTTGGCATGGTGCAGCCCTTGAATCCCGGTGCCTACCTTAGCCCCGCGGCCGTCGCGAGCATAGGCGTCGCGCAAGGATGTGCCGCAACCCACCTTCACCTCGGCACCTGCGGCCGCCAAGCGTTTCAACGCTTGCCACTGGAGCTTGGTGCGGTGGCATTGTCCCATGTCGGCGACAATCCGAACGCTTGCGCCCTTGCCAAGCGACGCTTCGATTGCCTCGATGCAGGATGGGCAATCTAAGCTGTAAGCCCGGATGTAGATCACATCCTCTGCTGCTCCAGACCCAAGCAGCGTTTGGGCGGCCTGAATGTATGGCCCGCCCGCAAGGAATTCCGCTTCTTTGACTGGAGAACTCCTAGCGGGGGCTGGGCCCTTGTTCCTCCGGCCTGGCGTGCGCGCCACAGTGGCAGTGGCGGCACGTTGCACGGAGCCGGACTGTGCGTGGGCTGCGCTCGCTCCATTTGCTGGGGCCGCGGCCAGGTCACGACCCGCGAGCCCCTGAAAGCAGGAGAGCCCGCGGCTCTTGGCCGCGAGTTGGGAGAAACACCCTTCACTGTTCCCCAAACCCAACACCACCTTACCCTTAGCTAGGGCATCGGAGGCGGTACTCCGAATGGAGTCTGTGAGCGCAGGACCCGCGCCTCGCTGGGCCGCGTGCAAAAACCCTAAGGAACGAGCGGTGTCCATTGCGGCATCGCAATGCCCGCAGCGTCCTTCTGCCAGGTAAGCACGACAGCCACAGGCAGCTGTCTCCTCCTTGAGATGCACCCAAACCTTATGGGTCACCCCTTTCTTGGTGCTCGCGACCTCAAACGTCGCTTCGGAGCCAAGGAGCTGAGACAGCCGCGCCTCAGGGGCCGCGGTGTTGCCATGTCGCAAATGCGCAATGCGATTGGCCACGGCACGACTCACGTACCACAGAACAGCACCGCGCAAGATCACTACCACGAGAGTGATGGCTGTTCCGGCGACCCACACGGTCCGCCTGGCCCCATGGCCGATTTCCTCAACAACGTCGGCCGACACCGTTGCAACCGCGTGCATGGAGTCCTCGACAACATGCACGACCCCGCGGTGCAACTGCAAGGCAATCGGCGCCGACGCTGCAGCCGCCAGGCCCCACCAGCCGTTGATGTTCCCGTTGAGGGCGTGCATCAACCGATTGAGGAGCCCGCGACCCAGGAAAAAGGGGGTCCGCGGCGGAAGCGGAACACTCGGCGGCGGCCGGGCCGACCCGCACGGGAAAGCTGGGACCCAGCTGGTGCTTGGGCGGGGTTGGAGCGCGGCAACAATGCCCGCGGCGAAGGCGCCCCAAGCGTACTTGCCCCTCCCCTTGGGCTTGCCCTTGGCATCGGACTTGCCTCTGCCCTTCGGCTTGCCCTGGCCCTTGCCACGGGCGTCTGCCCAAGCACCCCACGGGTCGCGGCCCTTGCCGTGCGTCGCCTCCTCGCGACGTCTCTTGCCGCCCCTCTTCTTGTGTTTGCTTCTAAGAAGAGGCTGGATCGTTTCCTGATCCATCGCGCGATTGGTGAGAAGGATCTCGTACTCCAGCTCATCTTGGCTGCTCTCGGAGCCCGAGTCCCTCTGTTCGCCGCGCCGCGGATCCGGGATCCCGCGGGACACGACCTCTGCCAAGCGGAGGGGTGTGCTGCACCTAAAGCACAGCTGCCTGAATGAAAGGTTCCATTCATAGCAGTTAGGGCACTGCCACCCTGCTATGCGGAGCGCTTCGCTGATGTGATCTTCTTGGCGCGCTCGGCCGCCTGCGCCTCTTCGGCCGCCTGGAGGGCTTCAGCGAGTTCCTCATCGCTGAGGAGCCTCGCGGCATCTGCCCGCGCTTGTTGGTCTTCAAGCTCTTCGGCAGAAAACCTCCGCCGCCATTGCTCCGGCGCGGTTTGGGGATCCACCTCCCACCACCCGATGTCGATCCCATTGATCCATCGGCCGTCGCACGGGGCGCCCGCATTCGGGCCGCCCGCGTGCGTGGTGAGGCACTGGTCCTCGGTCACCGGGTTAATGGCTTCGCAGAAGAAGCACCGCCAGCTGCCGTAGGGGTAAAAGCGGCCTTCGACGTAGGCTCGGTTGGCTGGGAGGGCGACCTCGTCCGCCTCATCCGCGGTGGCAGCCTCCATCTCAACCGAGACCTCTTCGTCCTTGACGACCTCAGCCTCCTCCTCCTGTTCCTCCTTGACCAGGGGCTCTTCCTCCTCCCGGCCAACCTTGAGGTGGGACTCAGTGCGAACCTCGGCGCGCATCAAAATGACGTCAAGGCTATCCG